TTTGTCGTCAGACTTAGAGATTACAATAGTCAAGTTATTTACAAAGGATTTATCTGTAGTGATAGACAACTAAATGGTCGGTCCTGGTTTTAAGTCATACTTTATCTTCAGCTTTAAATTATCTCATTAAAGATGTTGTATTTTGTTGACCCGAACGCCGAACGGAGAGGTTTTTCAATGTATATATATACAAACACACTTACTCATATATATATATATATATATATATATATATATATATATATATATATATATATATATATATATATATATATATTAATACATGCCTTATTATTATCTGCATAACATTATACATAAGCATTCTTTTTGTATCGGTGTCTTTATTTTTCTATTCAAAATCCAAATATATATGGGTGGGTTTCCACGTTCATCAGAACATCTCCATAGCAAAAGTTCTATTATAATGAAGTATTCTCCACTTGGTGGGTTACTGCCCCTAGCTAACTTTGGGGATTTCTCTCTTATGTGACTGGCAGCCCCTTGACAAATTCTATAATCGAATGAAATTAAACAATTACATAAACGTTGATAACTATTTTTTAAAAATATCAACAATAGCTTAGCATACCTGTTTCTGGAAGAGTCCATTATCGGACGAGAACAGTACAGGTAATCAAACAATGTGTTAGATTAAGCTGACGTTGCATTTAACAATGGATGTATATTTAAAGTCCTCTTTAGACCTACCGATTCTTTTGGCGGATGATGTATAGTTCATATGTTTGTATATCTCGGCATATGAAGGGATGGTGTGGTAAGCGTTATTCCCAGTCGCCTTTAGTTTACCCAATGTTAGTCAGATACCCATCAGATCAGTGTGGACTCAGGGACATCCTTCAGTCATGTGTATTTAGTTGACCGAACGGATAAGTTAGTCAATGTATATACACACAAACACACGCACACACACAAACATATATATATATATATATATATATATATATATATATATATATATATATATATATATATATATATAATTTAAAGCTGGGGATGAAGTAAAACTTATGAATTAAACTGAGACCGACTTGACCAGATCATTTAATTATCTGTCATTTCAGATAAATTATTTGTAAATAACGTGATTATCTTTATCTCTAATCCGCTGACAGCCAAATTGTTTTAACTTTTGACTCTTCAGAAACTTTACTGCTCTGATGGGTATCTTAGTTGGGGAATCTATAGACAGCTGGGCATTGTTCTTTCACCACCATTCCTTCATATGTTGAGTTTAAGAAGCATATGAACTATACTTCATCTACCAAAAAGGATTGCAAGTCTAAACATGAACTTCACTATACAGTCAAAATTTGATCAATGCCACGTCAGCTTAAGCTAACATATTGTTGGTTTACTATTCTAGTGTTATAATGGACTATTCCAGAAATAGGTGCGATAGGTTGTTAATTAATTTAAAACATTATTGGGTGATATCTTGTTTACATGTCCAACAATGGGCTATCCAAGAAATACGGGTGATAGTTTGTTACATAATGTAAAACATTGTTGGATGGCTTCTACTATTCATGTATGACAATGGAATCTCCCAGAAATAGGTGTGCTAGGTTGTTAGTGATATTTTGAAAAACATTTAAGAATGTTAGAGATATTGTTAAATTTTGTTGTATATCATAACTCATGGGCGAATATCAGAACTCTTGGGAGGGGGTGCGGATCACACCGGGTGACGCTATTTAGGGGGTGACACCAAGGCAAAAAATATCTAAATATATACAGAAAAATGATTATTTCACATAATTAAATGATTAGATAGAGTGAATTAAATAGTTTTTTAAGAGCAAAGTGGATAATCCCGACACGAATGGATAGGGTGGGGGTTGACACTATGACGTAAACCTACTAATGATAAAGAAAACATGCAACATCCAGCTGAATTTATCACCAAATAAAGATTGAGATCGTTAGTATTATCCGAGCACAGTTTAAAGCAATCACCGTGGGCGATACCGGGGGGGGGGGGGGGGGGGTTACATCAACTCAACGTTGCAATATATGTCTGAGAAAAACAGGTTGGTTGAGAATCGTAGTATCCTTATACACATACACTTGTATATGGATTATATATATATTTATATATATATATATATATATATATATATATATATATATATATATATATATATATATATATATATATATATATATATATATATATATATATATATATATATATATAAACGCTTTGTTTGGATCGATCTTGATCTTATCATATTGAAATACAATCTGGAAGTGCTTTGAAAGATCGTGTGCATCAGAACATCTCCAATGATTTTTTTTAATATTGAAGTATTCTCCCCTAGGTGGGTTGCTGCCCCTAGCTGATTTTTCGGATTTCTCTCTAACGTTGGTTGCTGCCCTTTGGTGGTAGAGCGAATTATACTTGAATGTGCTCATAGGAGTTGGAGTTATAGAAATAGGTAAACTCTTCTAATATATAAAGCTCAGTTCTGTATGTAAAAATACATATGTTTGTCGTTGACATACTTCCATGGATTAAAGTGTTAGACAATTATCGTGCGCATTTGTCTAAATTTATGAGTTGAAAAATTACTATTGAAAGTGTTCGGAAATAATTTTCATTTTTCAAACTGATAGTAATAATTGTCGGCATGTTCATTAAACACAAGTTTTTTTTAAAATCATCTTTTACAAAAATTCTAATTATATCTTTATTTAGTCCTATAGCACTTATCATCCCTTTGGTAAATTAGGAAAACACAATTACTTCCCTTTATAAAACCATTGCATTAGTGGAAAAGAATTTACTTTTTATTACTTTGTTTTGGTGTTGGGAAAAAAAATAATTACATAATTAGCGGGGATTGATGAAGTGCAAATGTTGTATGTAGGTATTTTACGGATAAGCTTGGAGTATTAAAATTGTTCATTAAATTGAAACAGGCGCGTTCGTTTAAGTGAGTGCAAAAGACTATGAATAAGTTGGGGTACTATAGTCGTTCATTAAGCTAAAACAGATGATTCCGCCCCGGGCGTTTATGTTCGCGTTAGTGTTTTCTTTGTGTTTAGGTGGGTTTGCGTTAGTGGTTGCGTTTTGATTTGGTTCGTTTTTGTTCTTTGTTTTTTCGTTTTCGTTTGTGTTTTTTTCTTTGGGTTTGTACTTGTATTTTTGGGTGGTTTTGCGTTTGGATTTGGTTTGTTTTCGTTTGCTTTTTCGTTGTTTTTTTGTGTTGGTATTGGTGTTTGTGGTTGGGTTTGTTGTTAGGTTTTTGTTTTCGTTTGCTTTTTTGTTTGTTTTTTCTTTGTGTTTGTATTGATGTTTGTGGTTGTGGTTGGGTTTGTTGTTAGGTTTTTGTTTTCGTTTGTATTTGTAATTGAGTTAGCGTTATGTTTGCGTTTTGTTGTTTTGGTTTTGGTTGGTTGTGGTTTGGGTGGGCAATGGCGGGTTTATGATGATTACTAAACACACAGGTGATGGTCTTTAACAGAAAGGTTTTTCACAGAAGCCAGAGCAGGGCCTGGCCGGGACGGCTAGTTATTTATAATCTGTATAATGCTCCAACTTTGAAGCTGTTGTTGAAGATGGCAGTAAGCTAGCGTTTAATATTGTAGTAATTACTTTCACCAACACGTGTGACTGTAGATAATACTTAAGCTTTGGAAGATGTCTTTGCCAATTTTGAGCACAATAAGTGATGTAAAATATGATGTCTTTATAATAGCACGGTAGTTGATCTAGGCTCAGTTAATGTTAATACTTTTAATACAGGCATGAAAATACATTTTCTATAATCATTTGAAATTCATATTTCCTACAAAATGTTCTATCATCATTTGATATTCACATTTTCTGCAAGATGTTATATCATCTTTTGATATTCACATGTTCTACCCGATGTTTAATTATCATTTGATATACATTTGTTTTACACGAGTTTCTATTATAATTTGATATACATATGTTCTACAGGTAAATTTAAAATAACGTTGTAATAGCAAATGTGGCTCGTCGGACAATACAACATATTTTACTTAGTGAGACAAAGACGATTATCCGACCTGGTCAGACTTAACCCGATTATTTGATTGTCTATCATCTCTCTTGGTTAAGTGTTTACACGAGATATGGGATTCGGTTAATCTCTTTCACCTAATGACGAGTGGGCCATTTGTTTTTACCTCTGATGTGGTGCCACGTCGACGCAATAATGTAATGTAAAATACAAGTTATGATAAACGTTCTAAAACCATTGCTATATCAAATAGCAGATTTACATTCGATGGAATGTCCAATATTAGTTATGGGAAACATAATAAGCCATTGTAATGGCAAATATCAGTTACATAAGCGATATATCGACAAATATTAGTTATGGTAAACATAGTAATACATTGTAATGGCACTTATCATTTACGATCAGCACATTATGGTATTGTAATATTAAATGTCCGCCATTATCAATAATGTTCGATGGCAATGTCTAATATCAGTTATAGTAAAAAAAAAAAGAAATACCATTGCTATGTTAATTATCAGCTATAACAAAAATTGCCGCAGTTATGTTAAATATTAGTTATGATGAACACTGAGATGTCAGGGGGGGTGATGTGGGGGCGGGGGGGGGGGGGGTAATGTTAAAAAAAACAATGCTGGAACCAACATATTTTGATATCAGATTCAACATGACAGAAACTCAAATTGATATAGAATTTAATGATAGTGTACAGCTCATATTCAAGTTTGGCAAACTGTCCCATCTAGAATATTAGATTATGTATGTGGAATATACAAATCCGAAAAAATACTTGAAGAACCTGAATTAGCTACAACAAGTTCAAAGGTTGCAAGCTACTGATATAGGTTAGTCATTAACTGATGATGGAATTGTCTGTAAGTTCAGATTTTATATAGGTCTAAGGCAAAAAATATAAAGTGAAATAGTTTTTTCAACAACACCACAATTTTTGCCAAATCAAACAAGAAAAGTATAACACTTAAGTTTGTCTGAAGAGCTTTATTGATGTCAAAATTTGACCTATAAGCTTACATTATCACCAGGAGACTACTAGGGATTTGGTTTTCGTACTTTCATTTCAACAAAACTGAGGGAATTGTAAACACCTGTAACGGTTGTCCAATAAATACCTAGGCCGTAACCTCTGGATCCCCAAACTCCATTTAGCATTGCAGAACCGCAATCTCTATACCACCAGCAACCTCCGAAAGCCCTAGCACAATGACTACTGACAGCTGGTCCACTGTCAAAAGTGGCGAATCCTCGATTCGGATTTTGGTCTAAGCTGTTAGAGGCATTTCCAGTGTAACTGTTAAAGTTGATGCGATAGAAAAGAGTTTCGTTTGACAGGACAAAATTTTTATACCGAGCATAGTAGTGCCGTCCTTGATATTTCATGTCAACCCTCATATCCGTGTAGCCCTGTAAAACGACATTACGCTAATGAAATTTCTTTTTAAAGAGGTAGGCGCCAGAAAAAAAAAACTGCTTAATTTACAAAACCTTATTTTATTTATTTGTGTGTAGGGTACTTAAAGAAAATATTTGCATGCATCAGAGTTTTTCAAAATTTTGTACAGTGAAATATCATTAACATGAATGCTAAGTTTACTAGTATTTCATCACACAAAACTTGGAAAATGTGAAGAAAAATATTTCTAGAATATTTTTTATTACAAACATTAGAAAGCGTATTCTATTAGAGTTAGCAAAAGAAAGGCTCAATAATTATATTATCAATCTATATTATAGTATTTTAAACCTTAAGATTTCAATGAAATGTTTCTTTTTCTAGATGACAGCTGTTGCCATGTCAGCCATAAGTTAAGAAGAGTTCTTGAAGCATGCAATATTTCCCCTCAAGTAGCCTAACTTAGATACACAAAAATAATTATATAGAACTTATTAATAAAGAAACGATTTTCTCCTGTTTTGTTTCAAGATCCTAATTCTTTAAATTTGATTAAAAATTGTAACTAGCTGCATGTACATAGCACCTGAACTACTAAGTAATCCTGATTAAACCATAAAAATGATTTTGGTTTATAAGTAGCAAAATGCAGGATTATAAATGTAGTTTTAGAATGTAAACAATGGCACTGCTTTAGAAACTGCTCAAAATCTGTTACATAATTGATGATTCCACCTGTTATGTCACTTCTGGTTGATTTTGAGGAAATCAACTTTAATATTTTTTGGTTAACTATTCTTAAAATTTTCAATACTATTACCTAATTGATTTTAAAATGTATCATTTAGGACAGAAATAAGCTTCTACTTTAATTGGCACTTAATAATGGGGGGGGGGGGCTATAAGAGCAACTTGTTTTTTTCCAAAAAGTGGACTTACAAAGTTTTGCAAGTGGCCTCTTCATATACCCCACACCACACACACACATTCATAATGCGCTATTACACACATAAAATTAATTTCTCCCTCTGTCACAAAATTAGAAATATTTAGTTTTCTTTACTGCTGTTGTAAGTTGATGTATAAACTGATTTCCAATCCAAAAGTCTCCATCAAACGAGCCAAACCCATCTCGATATTCTGCCCAGGATTTTGTGAAGTTCACTCCCCCTTTGACACGTCGCTGAAATTTATATTTTAAAGAGCGTTTAATTTATTTCCAAAAAAAATTCTCTCCTACTATCTCAATGTCACTTTGTGTGATAAAATCAAATCGGGGTGTTACGCTAAATATGTTTTCGAAAGATTATTTTTGCTTTTTCAGTCTGTCTCTTTGTCCTGTTTGTCTTTCTATACTTCTGTCTGTGTGGTAATTCTTGTAACTCAACTTTTACTTAACTCTAACTTCTCACATACATTCGTTTTCAAAGTCAACCCAAAAAATACAAAAAATTGTAAAGTTAGCAAGCTGCACTAGGAATTTTAGAAAAACAATTTCTAGTCATTAGTGATGTTTGACGTGTTTTTTTCAAGAAAAAAAAGAATTACAAAAAAATAAATGAGGAGGATATTTAACAAATTAAATATTGATTTACCTATAATTTTTTTCAATTTACTGTTACTTAAATGAACAAAATTAAAGCACATGTTAAAGTGCTTTATGATAATATGATGATAAATTCACCTTAAATAAAAATGTCTTTCTTTACCAAAAATATTCGTCTCTAATGAAATCTTTCAACTAGCTAGAGAGCAATGTTTTTAATAGAAATAAGGTAAATGTAAATATTCACACCCCCCTACCCCCATTAGTTTAAGTGCAACATAAAAAAAAACAACCTGGAAAATGACCCATCCACCTCCATCAGTTTTTGTGTCACAAAGAACATGTTTTGTTCCCAATGATTCAAATACCATTCTTTCTTTGTAGGAGGGTTTCATGAAACTTTTTTCACATTTTGGTTTTGTCTGGTAATTAAATTTTTTGCCAGTTAATAATAGAACAATCACGATTTAAAAAAAAAAACTTTATCTGTTCATATCGTTGTGTATTTTTGTCCGTCCGTGTGTAACACGCTACATCCACGAAAACCACCATGATTGGATTTATATATATTGTTTCCACATTCGATTGTGTATTAAAATTGTATTGGCTTTTAAAACCAAATTGTCTTCAATAAATTTATTTTATTGGTTAATAGCGCTTTTCATTACACATTAAATTAAGCAATACTTTAAAAAGATACATTTTAGAAAAGTTAATAGATATGTATTTGCCAACAGTACTTTCACCCAATTCGTAAATATATATATTGCATGTAGGAATGTTAAAGTGAAGTAGATAAACTGGTTTCCAAGTGTTAACGTCATTATAATAATTTTAATAGGTACTTCAACATACTATTTCTCTTGTTTTTACTTTCTCGTATATGAGATATAGAGGAAGTATTGTAATCTTGCAAAAATCCTACATCGAGGTTTTCACAAATCTCGACGTTTTACATCTCCTTGAGTCAGAAAAACATAATTTTGCAATTGTGTCCGTATGTCGGTATGTATGTGTGGGTGTATGTGAACACGATAACATGAGCACCGTTACAGCTACGTTGATAAAATTTTAAATGTATAAAATGTGTAGTTCTGTATCAACCTTTCGGTGATTTCCGCAAAACCGAAGTAGACTTATTCTACTTTTCTTTTTTCAAAAGCCTATAACTTGAGTACTCTTTCTTTTAAATAGACTAAATTTCACATATAAGTATAATATATATAATTTTCTGCCTTTTATCAAATTTTGAGAATTTTGCGTTTAACGGAAGTAATAAATTACGCTATTTCCGATTTCTCAAAAAAACACGCAAATGGATGTAAAACTTATTTATATTCCGCACTATTATACACTCATAGTTTGCTGTTCACTTGGTGCGCAATTCGCTTTTCTGAGCGATTCTATTCAATTTTTAAAATTTTAAGTATTAAAAAATGGATTAAAAACAATATCTATATCCATATATATTAGAGAAATTTTAGGGGAGATCACTCGCGCTTTATTTATGTCCAGATTCACACCTCCTAGCCTAAACAGCCTTCCACCAAATAGGCAACCTAACCACATAATAAAACATATATGAAAAAAATCTTTCTAAAACAAGCTTTTTAATGCACTGAAAATAAGAAAATAAAACTGCTTTCTTTCATAAAAGCTTTTGTCGTTTATGAGAGGGTTTTTTTTTTTACATATTATAGCGACCAACACGTTAAGTTTTAAATCAATTAAAAACGTTATCTTTCCTTAATAGCTTTTATTAGATCGAGCGTCTCCGCGATTGTAAACATTCGGCGTGAACCACAGCTCACAAGACTGATGGTTGATAGCGTCTAGCTAGTTTTTCCCCCTTATGTTGTTAAATATTGTAATGTATAGAGTGATTTGATATTGTTAGTACCGAAACTGATTAATTAATTTTAATGACTAATAAAACATCTAATTAAATTAAAAATAAATAGATTTGTATTGTCATCGAAGTGAAACGTTTCTGGAAAGTTTGCATTAAAAGTAGGACAAAATTGAGTTAAAACATTTGCAACAAAACCACAAACAAATTAAAACAAACAAACAGACGTTGCGAACTAAATAAAAGATTGTAAAACGCCCCCTTACAATCGTTTACATTCTTTTTAATACACATAATAAAATATACAACCCTGGGGTACCTATACATAAACACGAGGGATTTAAAATGTACCAATAGACTCATTACCCTCGAACTTTGGACTACTCTAGCATGACTTGCAAATGAACCAAAACACAAATAATAAAATAATTTAAATAAGACGGACTTACGGGACCGTCTGTGGCACGACAGTAGTGAGGTTTGTTCTTGCATCGAGGTGATCCAGCTTTTTTAGTGTATCTGTTCTCTGTTTCTAGTGAGTAAAAATTAACACGGTTAAAGGGCGTGGCCTAGCAGTAGAGCGCAAGACTACAAAGCCGAAAGTATTGAGTTCGAATCCCGGTTTAAGTTAAAGGAACGTCAATGAGTCCACCAAGCGCTAAAGTGTACATGACTCGCGTCTGGGAAAGTAAGTCTTCTAGGCATTACTGCTGACAATATTACCCCTTAAACTACAGTACTCTAGAACCATACGAACTTTACTTCATCTGCCTAATAGATCATTTTGTCTCAATAGAAATTTTTAATGCTTAACACATTTAAATAACTGTAAGTATGTTAAGTTCGTAGTCGTGAAATTTGTATACACCTTTGTTATGCGTCGTTTTGATAATAGAATACTGTTGAGTATTTTAATTGTTTTTTTTTTAATTGTTAAAGAAATGTCTTCATTTTATGAATAGATTTCACATAGCTCAAATATGTTTTTAAAACGACGCTAGTATGAACTCCCCCCCCCCCAACCAATTCCTTAAAATGGATGTAACAACTTTGAAAGCTGCCTCGGTGAAAACTTCACCGACCCTAGTATAAACTCTACCCCATCAAATCCCAAAACATGCATGTACTAACTTTGTAACCTGCCTCGGTGTTAACAAAACACCTCCGACTCTAGTATGAACTCTGCCCCCCTCTCAATTCCAAAACATCCGTGTACCAACTTTATAACCTGCCTCGGTGAAAACTTCACCGACCCTGGTATGAACACGGCTTCCACCAATTCCTGAACATGTATGTACCAACTTTGAAACCTGCCTCGGTGAAAACTTCACCGACCCTAGTATGAACGCTGCCCCCATCCAACTCCAAAACATACATGTACCAACTTCGAAACCAGCCTCGACGAAACCAAAACACCTCCGACCCTGGTATAAACTCTCCCCTATCAATTCCACAACATGCATGTACCAACTTCGAAACCACCCTCGGTGAAATCAAAACTCCTCCGACTCTAGTATACATTCTCTCCCAACCAAATCCAAAACCTTCCCTAGGCACCCGAATAAAAATAACTCACACAGCCCCTTAATCAATCAAAATTATTGATTTGTACTTTAGAGTGATTTGATTGAATGATATGTATGCTAACGTCATATCATATTTAGTTTTTACGTCATTATTTTGGTGAAATTTAAATGTAGACATTTTAAACGTCGTCTCATTTGACACGACGTACTCTAACGTTGTGGTTTTTTAAAACTTGAAGTTTATAATCTTAAGCAAATTTTTACTAAGGTGATCAAAAATTAAGATGACAATGCAAGATATTGAAAAACAAAATACATTGAGTGGTAAAAATAAAAATTGTAATTAGACGTAATGTATTATGTATAAGTAAACCTTCTTAAATTAAAGAAGTTCAAGTCAAAAAGAAGTTTGATGAAAACTGTAATACTAAAGCGAACATGGTCAGCTAATCTGCTGCAAGACTAAGATATATATTCCTCTTCCTTCTAGTTTCATTGCCTTTTTTGGTTGAGGTCTGTAAGCATAGGTAAACATCGCCATGTTTTCAAATATCGCGATGCAAACCACGTTTTTTCTATAATTTGAACGATTATGCAGGTGGCCGTAAGATTGGCTGGTGCTTTAGTTGCTACAAATGACAAAAGGTCTTCACTTTTTTGTTTGCTGAATTAGGCAGTTTTTTTGTGTAATATAAAATGAATCTCATTTAAAGTTTGAGATGATTTTTTAAAAAAAGATGTGTTAAGTTCAAGTGAATTGTCTGAAAACATGGAATCTTTTAATACTCGTTTAATAGTAGTGGATCATATCAAACACCCAGTAGCGAAGGAAGGCTTTCAGTGGGAAAATGATGGCCGAGAAAGAAGTGTTACTCCCAATGCTGTCCAAGCGGCCATGCGTAGTCTTGGTGATGAATTTGAGGAACGATTTAGAAATAGATTCAATGATTTGATTTAACAGCTTAATATTACTGATAACAACGCTTATGATACTTTTAAAACAATAGTTGATGAAACCTTCTCTGATGGTTTTAACTGGGGCATGATTGTGGCGCTTTTAGGCTTCGCTGGATGCTTTGTGGTATATTGTTTCGTACATAATAAAAGCCATTTGGTGGATAATGTTGTTGAATGGGTTACTTCATATATCGACACTAACTTGCAAGAATGGTTGACGTCTAATGATACATGGGTAAGAATAGTTTCCATATGCCTACATCATAATATCAAGTTTATATCACCTGTTAAGAAGAATCTAAATCGGTATATTGACTTGTTTTAACTGATACATTTGAACAACAGAATATTGATTAATTCAAATTTATGAGCTGTGTTTTCATTAGAATACATATTGTGTTTAGGATAATTGTTATGTATGCTACAGCTATATTTTATCTCTATCATCTTTTATCACCCCTCTCCCCATGACTTTTAAGTATACTGATTACCCATCTTCAAGATAGAGATATCAAGAAATCGAGTCTCTCTTATTTTTATCTTCTACAGCAAGGTCTGGTTGAGTTTTATTCACGCACTGAAAGTCACAGAGATTGGCCATATTTTAAAACATTACTTAAATGGTCTGTGGCAGGACTTGGTGCAATCACACTGAGAGCATTTCTTGCACAAAAAATCATAAATTTTAATCATTTGTCATGGTGACTGTTACAATGAAGACATACATAAAATTATAGCACATTTTTACTCTTAAGCCGTTGAATAAAGCCAAACATTTGTAACGTTAAACATTTTATGGTGTTTTTCTCTTCTCCTCCGCCTTCCCCGTACCCATCCCAACCCTTATGTCGGATGTTGCAGGGATGTAAATCTCACTAAATCTGTTTTTGTCCTGTGTTCTATGCATTAAATATTAAACACGTATACATCTATACTCAATACAAGTTATACCCCCACATATATTGGTAGGTTACGAAGTGTGTTAAAATGACAATATTTGTTAATAATAGATCTGATTAAAAACTCTATCTTGAGATCAGTGTATGAAACAATAATATTTTAAAATTTTAGCGTATTAATAATATTTAAAACAAGTTTCGCCGATAACGCTCAAGTAGAAATATTGTCTTTATGGTTGAGCTCTGTAAGCATAGCTAAACGTCGCCATGTTCTCAAATATCATGATTCTAGCCGCCTTCTCTCCCCTCTTACTTAGTAATCTCTTCCTCTAACCTTTTGTTTACAACACGGCTACAGAGAAAAAAATATCCCGTCACCTGCTTGCGATATAAAATACAAAATCTAGTGTCTTTATTTCGCGTACGTTGCACTTGGAAAAGATATGGTCTAGCTCACTGTAAAAGATGAATCGTCTCCCCTGCTAATGACGTCACAAGGAAGACACGAGTAGACGCTATCTCGCTACTAAAACGTACCAAATACGCGTTTAAAAAAAATAATTAAAAAATGACTCAACGTGAAGTTAAAAAATAAATTGTCTTCGAGGGAGAAGTGTGTTGTATGGAAGTATTTTTCCGACACAGTCTGTTTGGTTCATTGTCCTATGCTCAGATACCCGTACAATGGGTATTGTGCTCACGGCACACAATGGAAGGTAGCCGCGTGCCTTCGTAGCACTTAAAAAATGCGTAGAGTGAATGACGGCGTATGTTTTGTAAGCTTGAAAAGATTACACCAGCGGGACATTAGTAAATATTTTTTAGGGTTTTCTCCCTTTAATTAATTTCAACAGAGTACTAAAAGCTTGTCTTGTGTAACTTTACCATATTTGATATGTCTTTTTAAATGACGCACGACTCGCTCCACGGAAACTAATCGTCTCCCCTGCTAATGACGTCACAAGGAAGACACGAGTAGACGATATCTCGCTACTAAAACGTACCGAATACGCGTTTGAAAAAATTAAAAAAGAATAACTCAACGTGAAGTTAAAAATAAATTTCTTCGAGCTAAAATAAAACCAGCTGCGAAAGTGACAATGGGATGGTGACACGGTTTTTTTTTAAATCTTTTATGCAAAGAAAATGACAGACGCCTTAATAGGTGGCATGCTAATTTATGCCTTGCGTTCTCTCCCTTTACCGAACAAGTATGAATTTCTGATCAAATATTTCCAAAGGTTATTTTTTTTTATGTTGGTGAAAGAAAGTTGGATAAGTCGCTGCGTAAACTAATTAATACCCTTTACATGTACGCGTCGCTAATGTTGTGAGCTGTGATTTAGTAAATGCTTGAAGGGTAGCTCAAAGCGAATCGTCTCCCCTGTTATTGCCGTCACAAGGAAGAAACGAGTAGACGATGTCTCGCTACTAAAACGTAACAAATACACATTTAAAATTTTGTTTGTCTTCACGGAACACAAGAGTAGGAGGGTAGGTCATTGGTCTTTCTCCTCCTCCTTTTGTTTACAACACGGATAAAAAAGAAAAAAAATATCGCGCCACCCTGATTGAAAAATAAAATACAAAATCGAATCCTTTATGTCGACTGTTTCACGGTTCGCTCCGCGGAAAAGATACCTCGCTTATTATCCAACCATCGATGTGCGTTGGCATATAGCTATTGTCCTAGGCTCAGCTACCCATACAATGGGTATCGTGCTCACGGCATACAATGGAATTTGGGCGCGCGCTATTGTGACACTTAAAAATGCTAGAGTGAATGATGCGGGTATGTTTTGCAAGCTTGTAAAGATTACACCAGCGGCACATTAGTAAATATTTTTAGGGTTTTCTCCCTTGAATTAATTTCAACAAAGTTCTAAAAGCTCGCCTTGTGTTAGATTAGCCTATTTGATGTCTATACATGACGGATAAAAATAACTCAGTCCTCAGTAAACCATTGGGATCCTAAATTTATGTGAAGCTATTTGTGAATGTAAACAAGACTGTTCTAATTATAGAACATCGGATTCTACCTTCGTTGCTCTATTAGGGAAGACGCGAGCAGCACACGCGTCGAACATTTTAAATGTAAACAATAAACGCACGGGGCTACACCGATCCATTGTCGCTATGATAATGTATGTCGCTGAGTTCTCGTACTTGAGAATGTTTAAAGGGTAACAATTAAAAACTATAAAAAGAATGAAAGAACCATCGTTGTGGTCGTGGATTAGTTTAGGGGTGAACCACCCCACTCCCTCCCCACTCTCACAGAAGTCCCATTCTATAGACAGGAATAGTAGAATTCGGGTCCTTCTTCTTCCTCTTCTTCTTCGTTCTTAATTATTAGTGAAGAAGGGGATCGAGATGTATCTGCCAGTTGGGTTTGAACTCGAGATTTTGTTCGAATTTATCAATTCGGGTCCAAATCAATAGAAGTTCTCTGAGTACTGATGGGTTCCTAACTCACGTTAGGGACAGTAAAGCCGGGTGGGTATAGTGATGAACACACTATCTCTTCATATGCCGAGGTCACAGAAACAAAATTTTATTTGTTTATCTTTTATATTAATATTTATTTTAGAAAATTATAAAAATATAAACAAGTGGAAGTCAATATGGTAGAATTATAGAACCTTAAAATTAAAAAGTGATGGAAAAAAATAAATAAATAAATAAATAAATAAATAAATAAAACAATGAAAACGAAGTGATTACCAACATAGTCTCAAAAGAAATTTACAAAACTTGAGCTTTGAAACATAATCGACTTTGGAACTAAAACAAAAACATAATCAAGGGTATTTAGTTTAATTTCTGTTAAACCATTGGTATCCTAAATTACTTTATAAATTGTTAACAATAATTGATGAATATACTCTTTGATGTCTGACCCTGGTCACTATTTTAGAAAAAAATATCAATGTTTTTAAAGACACTAACAACTGGGGTAAGACTAGACCAGCCCTATTCAATAAAGCTAGCCTTACAATAGACCATAACGAATGGTTCGGGGTAGACAAAGCGCGCGAGCGCGCGAGTCGCGTTATACACAAAAGACAAGCTCTTACAGACGTCAGACAAAGGGAGAATGAGATTGCAACACACAAAGGGAAGGGGCACCACCTGCTACCACCTCCCATACCCGCCCCCGGGTTTCACCCGCATCATATTTTACTATATACTGTTAAAGCCGGACTGTCGTCCAGGTCAATAAAACAACCAACAACCGGTCAAGTGGTCAACAACCGGTAAACTGATCATCTGGTCAACAAGAACCGGTCAGTTGGTCAACTGGTCAACAAATGTATAACATTATTATTTTAACCGTTAATGAAACAATAGGTCAGTTGGTCAAGTGGTCAACAACCGGATAACAAATAGAAAAACAATGCTCTCCTCCTCCTCCATGATAACCGTTAATAAAAACAATGTAAAACAACATCTGAGCAACAACTGGTCAGTTGGTCAAGTGGTCAACCTACCGATCAATTGATCAAAACAATGCCCTCCTCCTCCTCTATGATAATCGTTAATAAGACAAAGTAAAACAACATATGATGAACAAGTGGTCAAGTGGTCAACATACCGATCAAAACAATAACCTACTAGTCAAAATAATCAACAGTTGGTTAATGAACAATCAACAACGGGCTAAAAAAATCAATAGTTGGTCAAAAAAGAGGGACAAAAATCAACAGGTGGTCGAAAATCAATCAATAACGGGTTAAATAATCAACAGGTGGTTAAAAACCAATCAATAACGGTCAAAATATGCAACAGGTGGGCAAAAAATCAATCAATAACGGGTTAAATAATCAACAGTTGTCCCTCCTCCTCCTCCCTCCTCTCCTCCTCCTCCTCCTCAATACGCATCAAATGTGACCTACTATACTACTTGTCTGACCACAAAAGTAAGTTATTTTTTATTAAAAATTTCAATTATAAATCCGAAATCCAAAGACTGACAAAAGTGGAGGGAGCTTTCTTTCTGTGGCAGCCGCATGTATGATAGGCACAAAAAGATTTAAAAAATCAACACCAAGTTCTAAAATCAAGTGTTTGTTTATGAGATTGGCTTTACCTATTGTGCCTCTTTGTTTGATTAAAGTTTTACAACGTTTCAAAATTTATTTCCAAAAAAAGAAAAAGGGTATAGTACATAGTGTAAGTACCGTATATTGTATATAGCGTATAGTACATATTGTATGGTGTATACATCATGTTTAATAATCTATAGCTCTTGGTCTGTTGTGTAATGTAGACTATGTTTGGTGACGTATACTATATGATGTAATTCATATAGTGCATGGTGTATAGAACATGTTGTATCGCCCATAAAATTTAAATATGACGTATAGTATATCATTTATATATATATATATATATATATATATATATATATATATATATATATATATATATATATATATATATATATATACATATATGTATTCATATAAAGCAGGGGTCTCCAAACTACGGCCCGCGGAGATCTTTTTGTCTAAGTCAGGGGTCTCTAAACTACGGCCCGCGGGCCGGTTGCGGCCCGCGATGTCCTCTCATCCGGCCCGCGGAAATCTTTTTGTCCATTAAAAAACGTTTGTTGGTGATTGCTAAGGAACTTTGCCCAGAAAAATCAAATACATGCCTGGAAGAAACTGGCCCCCGAACTGAAATTTGATAGTTAATGCGGCCCTCGGACTGAAAAGTTTGGAGACCCCTGATATAAAGCAAAGCCTTACCTGCCGTATCATTAGCGCATGCGCCATAAAAGTGTTGAAAGAACAATATGGCAGCGATGAGCAGACTGCAGTAGTCCATTATAGCTGCAAGCCAACTATAATGGGAACCTGTTTGTAAGGCGAAGACCTCATCGGAACAGCGAGTCTGTTTCGTTGATGTGTTGATGGAGCTCAGTGTTGAAGTCAACAAATTACGTTTCTATTTAACCTTTTGGTATAAGCCAATCGTCTTGTGACAACAGGTTGTTTAGGGATTTGGATTATTTCATATGCAAGCAGAAGGGGTGGAAGAATGATTTTGATACTGGTATCAGACCATGAACTGTTGTTGTGAAATTTGAAAAGGTTGACCCAATTATACATAAAATGATAAGTTATGATATACAACAAATATTTAACAATATCTCTAGCATTCTTAAATGTTTTTCAAAATATCACTAACAACCTAGCACACCTATTTCTGGGAGATTCCATTTTCACACATGAATCGTAGAAGCCATCCAACAATGTTTTACATTACGTAACAAATTATCACCCGTATTTCTTGGATAGCCCATTGTTGGAAATGCAAAGAAGAAATTACACAATAATGTTTTAGATTAATCAACAACCTAGCGCACCTATTTCTGGAATAGTCCATTGTAAGACTAGAATAGTAAACCAACAATATGTTCGAATAAGTTAACGTTGCATTGATCAAATTTTGACTGTATAGTTAACTTCATCTTTAGGCTTGCGATCCTTTTGGTAGATGGAGTATAGCTCATGTGGTTCTTAAATTCAACAAATGAAGGGATGGTGGAGTCGTCCAGTCGTCTATAGGTTCCCCAACTAAGATACTCATCAGAGCAGTAAAGCTTCTGAAGAGTCAGATGTTAAAACAATTTGGCTGTCAGCGGATTAGAGATAAAGATAATCACGTTATTTACAAACAATTTATCTGAAATGACAGATAATTAAATGATCTGTTCAAGTCGGTCTCACTTTAATTCTTAAGTTTTACTTTATCCCCAGCTTTAATTTATGTCATTTTGTTGACCGAATAGAGAAGTTAGTCAATACACAAACACACACATACAAACATTCACTTGTTCTACAAGATGTTCGATCATCATTTGACATTTACTTGTTCTATAGGATGTTCTATCATCATTTGATATTCACATGTTCTACACGATGTTCTATCATCTTTTGATATTCACTTGTTCTACACGATGTTCTATCATCATTTGATATTCACATGTTGTGCTCGATGTTCTATCATCATTTGATATTCACTTGTTCTACACGATGTTCTATCATCTTTTGGTGTTCACATGTTGTGCTCGATTTTCTGTCATCATTTGATATTCACTGGTTCTATAGGATGTTCTATCATTATTTGATATTCACATGTTCTACCCGATGTTTTATTATCATTTGATATACATTTGTTTTACACGATGTTCTATTATAATTTGATATACATATGTTCTACAGGTAAATTTAAAATAACGTAGTAATAGAAAACTTAGATCGTCGGACGATACAACATATTTTACTTAGTGAGACAAAGACGATTATCCGACCTGGTCAGACTTAACCCGATTATTTGATTGTCTATCATCTCTCTTGGTTAAGTGTTTACACAAGATATGGGATTTGGTTAATCTCTTTCACCTAATAACTAGTGGGCCATTTGTTTTTACCTTTGATGTGGTGCTACGTCGACGCAATATTTTAAAATAGAAGTTATGATAAACGTTCTAAAACCATTGCTATATCAAATAGCAGATTTACATTCGATGCAATGTCCAATATTAGTTATGGGAAACATAATAAGCCCTTGTAATGGCAAATATCAGTTACATACGCGATACATCGTCAAATATTAATAATGGTAAACATAGTAATACATTGTAATGGCACTTATCATTTGCGATCAGCACATTATGGTATTGTAATATTAAATGTCCGCCATTATCAATTATGTGTGATGGCAATGTCTAGTATCAGTTTTGGTAAAAAAGAAATACCATTGCTATGTTAATTATCAGCTATAACAATAATTGCCGCAGTTTGTTAAATATCAGTTATGATGAACACTGAGATGTCAGGGGGGCCGGGTGATGGGGGGGGGGGGGGTAATGTTAAAAAAACCAATGCTGGAACCAACATATTTTGATATCAGATTAAACATGACAGAAACTCAAATTGATATAGAATGTAATATTGGTGTACAACTCATATTCAAATTTGGCAAACTGTCTCATCTAGAGTATTAGATTATGTATGTGGAATATACAAATCCGAAAAAATACTTGAAGTACCAGAATTAGCTACAACAAGTTCAAAGGTTGCAAGCTACTGATATAGGTTAGTCATTAACTGATGATGGAATTGTCAGTAAGTCCAGATTTTATATAGGTCTAAGGCAAAAAATATAAAGTGAAATAGTTTTTTCAACAACACCACAATTGTTGCCAAATCAAACAAGAAAAGTATAACACTTAAGTTTGTCTGAAGAGCTTTATTGATGTCAAAATTTGACATATATGCTTACATTATCTCCAGGAGACTACTAGGGATTTGGTTTTCGTACTTTCATTTCAACAAAACTGAGGGAATTGTAAACACCTGTAACGGTTGTCCAATAAATACCTAGGCCGTAACCTCTGGATCCCCAAACTCCATTTAGCATTGCAGAACCGCAATCTCTATACCACCAGCCACCTCCGAAAGCCCTAGCACAATGACTACTGACAGCTGGTCCACTGTCAAAAGTGGCGAATCCTCGATTCGGATTTTGGTCTAAGCTGTTAGAGGCATTTCCAGTGTAACTGTTAAAGTTGATGCGATAGAAAAGAGTTTCGTTTGACAGGACAAAATTTTTATACCGAGCATAGTAGTGCCGTCCTTGATATTTCATGTCAACCCTCATATCCGTGTAGCCCTGTAAAACGACATTACGCTAATGAAATTTCTTTTTAAAGAGGTAGGCGCCAGAAAAAAAACTGCTTAATTTACAAAACCTTATTTTATTTATTTGTGTGTAGGGTACTTAAAGAAAATATTTGCATGCATCAGAGTTTTTCAAAATTTTGTACAGTGAAATATCATTAACATGAATGCTAAGTTTACTAGTATTTCATCACACAAAACTTGGAAAATGTGAAGAAAAATATTTCTAGAATATTTTTTATTACAAACATTAGAAAGCGTATTCTATTAGACTTAGCAAAAGAAAGGCTCAATAATTATATTATCAATATATATTTTAGTATTTTAAACCTTAAGATTTCAATGAAACAGAGGCGTAGCGAGGAGGGGGCGGGGGGTGCGGATCGCACCGGGTGACACCATTTAGGGGGGTGACACCAAGGCAAAAAATAGTAAAATATATAAAGAAAAACTTGAGAGGGGGGGGGGGTGCAAATCGAAAGTTTGAGGAGGGGGGTGCAACTCGAAAGTTTGAGGGGGGGGGGGGTGCAAATCAAAAACTTGAAAGTTTGTCCCTGGGAAGGATCGCTACGCCTCTGGGGGGTGACACCGTTAAGTGCCGCACCGGGTGACACCCGACCTCGCTACGCCACTGCAATGAAATGTTTCTTTTTCTAGATGACCGCTGTTGCCATGGCAGCCATATGTGAAGAAGAGTCCCTGAAGCATGCAATATTTTCCCTCAAGTAGCCTAACTTAGATACACAAAAATAAATGTATAGAACTTATTAATAAAGAAACGATTTTCTCCTGTTTTTTTTTTTCAAGAGCCTAATTCTTTAAATTTGATAAAAAAATTGTAACTAGTTGCATGTACCTGAAATACTATGTAATCCTGATTAAACCATAAAAATGATTTTGGTTTATAAGTAGCAAAATGCAGGATTATAAATGTAGTTTTAGAATGTAAACAATGGCACTGCTTTAGAAACTGCTCAAAATCTGTTACATAATTGATGATTCCACCTGTTATGTCACTTCTGGTTGATTTTGAGGAAATCGACTTAAATATTTGTTGGTTAACTATTCTTATAGTTTTTAATACTATTACCTAATTGATTTTTAAAATGTATCTTTTAGGACAGAAATAAGCATACTACTTTAATTGGCACTTAATTAGGGGGGGGGGGGCTATGAGAGCAACTTGTTTTTTTTCAAAAAGTGGACTTGCAAAGTTTTGCAAGTGGCCTCTTCATATACCCCACACCACACACACACATACTCTAATCCGCTATTACACACATAAAATTAATTTCTCCCTCTGTCACAAAATTAGAAATATTTAGTTTTCTTTACTGCTGTTGTAAGTTGATGTATAAACTGATTTCCAATCCAAAAGTCTCCATCAAACGAGCCAAACCCATCTCGATATTCTGCCCAGGATTTTGTGAAGTTCACTCCCCCTTTGACACGTCGCTGAAATTTATATTTTAAAGAGCGTTTAATTTATTTCCCAATTTTTTTCTCTCCTACTATCTCAATTTCACTATGTGTTGTGATCTACTTAGGTCTGTTTATTTTTAGGTTTACACTTGTTCCCTTACCATATATGGTCTGCGGTATAAGGACCGGTTTTTTCAGCTATCTTACTAAGAGAGTCTTAGACTCAGAAATTTTCCATCAAAAGATGATTGATTGATTCAGACCATATGACCACCCCAGCCAATGACCTTCTGTGTGCCTCAGTCTATAAATAGGCCGCCCACAGGTATCTCGAGGCAGTCCATTTTGACCAAGCGTCCGTGAGAGAGCATAAGTCCTGAGTGTGCTATGTAGTATTAAGTTGTTAAGTATCCTAGTATTATATTACTTGTGGCCAAGTGATTATTTATGCTATAGCAGTGTTATTGAACTGTGGCTATTTTTATAAAGTGTTAGAATCTGTGATAGTATTTATTCTTACGCTTTGTAAGTTGGGTTTTTGTTATTTCTAAACTAAATATTTTATCTTGTTTAATCTCGTGTTCTGCCACGACTTGTTCACTTATTAAAAGTTGTATGCAGATTGAATGAGTTGTTAACTTCAATAGTTTCACTAGTTTTCCCTAGACCTCGACATCGAGCCCTAGTGAGTTGTTGAGATAGTTTTCATTCATTTAGGCTTTAGGTCATTTGCATATAACCCTTGAAACGAATCCGGGAGCGTTCACCATCTATCCGGCTGGTAGATAGGTGACCGTTACAGTGTGAT